CAATCAATCGGAAGGTTAGTCCCGATATACTGAGGAAACTCTCACACAATATCAACTTTTTGTCTCTATTTCTATGTTTTACTGAATGATAACATTATTTCATTAGTTTCTTTGAGTAGATTTTTCTTTCATTTTTTGATCGTCTTATTATTTATCTCTGATTTTCTGTAAAATAAATTATGTTTTCATTGATTGCATTGTTTTTTGTATGTGTTTTTGCGTGTATTGTTAGAAATAAAATCTGAAGAGAAAGCAGTCATTGCAGACCAAGTCAATGACGGAACAGACGATAAAACTGTTGAATCCAATCCCCCAACAGGTGCTGTCGCCGCCGCCGCTCCAACCCCTGCGGCCGCCCCAACTCCTGTGGCGACGCCCACACCCACACCACCGCAACCACAGCCCACTCCACCCGTAAATAACTACTCGGGCAACGAGTTTAACCAAAATAGAGGTCGTGGTTATCAGAGAGGAGGAAGAGGTGGAAACCAAGGCCGGGGTCGTGGAGGGGGTCGGGGACGCAATCGCGGTCGCGGTCGCAAATGATTGACATAATCTCCGATCGCCACATCAAAAACCATAGCTTGAGTTTCGACTGATCTGAGCCCTCATTCATGAGATTATTTTCTATTTAATTATAGACCGGTTTTTACTCATTTACCCATATTTTTCGCACATTTTTAAAAATCTCATAAACAGTTTTTTAGTTGAGTTTTTATTTTATTTTTAACATTTTCCTAATTTCTAGCTCTCATTTCATTTATTGTATTTTAGAAATCATTTATTAAATTAATTTAGAAATCATTGATTCGCAAGTATTATTAGTTTTAGTATACATTTTAGAGTGATTTTATGTCAATCATTACAGACCACACTTTGAATTGTGTTTTTTGAAATGCATTCATTCATTGCCTCATATTTTTTATTTATAATTGATTTTTTCGGTTTTTCGGAACAAATAACTTAATATAACAATTAACGGTATAATTCATAAATTAATTATTCATTTAACGCATGCTTTCATTTATAACTTAATAACAATTAT